ATTTGTCTTTTGCTATCTGTGGGAAACTGGTCCCAGGACCTGTCACAGATACCCAAATCTGTAGAAGGTCAAGTTCCTTGTATACAATGTCATAGTATTTGAACATAATCTATGCACATCCTCCTGTATTCTTTTTAGATTATCTCTAGATAACTTAGACTACCTTATACAGCATAAATGCTAGGTAAATAGTTATTATAGTGTATTGTTTAGGGAGTAATGATAAGAAAACCTTTGTATGGTATGAAATTATCTTTAATGAAAATTATCTTTAGTTCACCTGAATTTCTAAAAAAAATATTTTTGCTGGATACAGAATTCTTGGGTGATTTTTTTTCCTTTCAGGACTTTAAAGATAGTGCTCCCCTGTTGACTTGTTTTCTCTAACAAGAAATCTACTATCATCCTCACCTTTGTTCACATGTGCATATGTGTTTTTTTTTCCTCTCTTTGGCTGTTTTTAATATGATATGTTTGGTGTATTTTTTTTTGTGTTTCTTGTTCTTGGGCTTTATTGAGCTTCTTAGATTTATAGTTTTCATCATGTAGCAAAATTCTGCCCATTGAGTCTTCAAATAGTTTCCTTTCTTCCCCACTCTTTCTTCTATTTGGAGATTCCAAGGAATCGCTATTTATAATAATTTATATTGTATTCTTTATTCTGTTTTTATTCCTTTATTTATATTTATATGCTTTATTTATATCTCTAATTTTTTCACTACTTTTTTTCCCTCAATGTCTAATCCCATTGCCTTTACTATTAATCGCACCCAATGTCTTCCTATTTTTCATATCAGACCTATAGTTTTCATATCTGGAAGTTTGATTTTTGATCTTTATAAATGTATGCATGTCTCTTCTTAAGTTCTGAACATATGTACTAAAGTTGTAAAAGCTGCTTTAATTTCCTAGTCTGATAATTCTAACATTTATCTTTGAGTTGGTTTCAACTAGTTGGGTGTTTGCTTGTTAGTTTATTCCTCATTAGGAGCAGTGTTTTCTTGTTGCTTTGAATGCCCAGGGATTTTATTATTATGATTATTATATGCAGACATTGTGAATTTTAATTTGTTGGGTGCTAGATCACACACACACACACCCTCCTTGAGCTGTATTCTGGGATGTAATTAAGTTACCTGGAAACATTTTGATCCTTTTGTCTTGCTTTTTGAGATTTGTTAGGCAGGACTAGAGCATCACTTAGCCTACAGCTAAGTAGCTAATTATTTCTCCCTACAAATTCAAGACAATTGTGAGTACCTAATTTCCTTTAAATGATGAGAGGTTCAATTCTAGTTGGTGGGAATAGGCACAATTCCTGCTCCTTGTGAACATCAGGACCATTACCTCTAATCCTCTTGGCTGGTTCTTTTTAGGCCTCAGGTAGTTTCCTCATTGCATGGGTTGATCAGAATTCTGAAGAATACTTTCCAGATCTCTAGAGTTTTCTAGTTCTCTTCTTTTATGTTTTATTTTGTCAACCCTAACCAGGTTGGAACTCAGGGTTGGAGTGCCCAGGTTGGTTTCTCTGAACTCTTACTCAAATTCTCAACTCAGAGGGTCAACCAGGTCTGCCCATGTCCCTCCTTTCCACTGTTGTTGAAGAATCCTCTCATGGCAGTAACTGGGGCCATCACAGGGTTCGCCTCATTCATCTCCTTTCTCTCCAAAATCACTCTTCTTCATTTTCTGACCTCTGGTATCTTGAAAACCATTCTTTTACAAACATTGTCCAGTGGTGGCCTCTCTTTTCCTCTCTCTCTTGATTCAGGTGAGAAGATAAATCCAGTTCTGGTTATTTCTCTTTGTCAGAGGCAGACATTTGTGGATTTTCTTTTGTCCACCTTTTCCACTTTTCTCCAGCTTGCTTTTAAATTTCATGAACTGATGTTAAACATTCCAATTCCCAGAATGTTCAGTGAAGGAGAAACTCCAGTTGGACTCACTCTCTGAGATTTGGCCAATAATAGTGCAGGACCTAATTATAACCCATCTTCTGAGAGACACAAAAGGTGGGCGTCTCATCTCTCTCTGTGACGTGGTCAAGTATAATGAAGGGTAAGTTTGTATTTTTGAACAACTGTAATAAATCATGTTAGGTCAAGAGGCAATGCTCTTACAACCATGACTAGAAATGCCCTAAAAGAATTAATTTGTGTGGTACCCTGCAAGTCTCCCAATAATGATGGAAAATTTTAGACACTAAGAGAAATTTGGCTCAGAGACCTAGATTTTTTTATGTTAGTGCATTTCTCTCTGGAGGTAAGTAAGGTACTTTCAGAGGACAGCCATTCTTTGAAGTCAGTTAGAAAATTATTGCTGCAGGGTACTAAAGAGAACCTCAGTAACCTGACAGAGATAATGTGCCATTGCAGTGTGTTCTTTATGCGAGGATGTAATTTACTGTTTCAGAACACACTACCTCCCCACCATGTGCAGGCCCAAGGTCATGAGAATTTGGGAAAAACCAATTGGTTTCTCTCTGAATGTTTACAATGCTACAACCATGAACCATAGTGGGTTAATCACAGTGGGTATGAATTGTACCTGGATATTCCCCTCTCAAAAATTATAGAGAGTTACTCGTCAATGATTCTCAGGGTTGGAATGGGAATAGGGTCATTGAAAAGTTAAATTAACTCTACCTGGTCACCAAACATAATAAGAGCCACTAGAAAGAAATGTTCAAAATGTTATTTCTATATGGGATTTTAAATCAATATATCCACTGATCTATATATTCCTTAAAAAAAAAAAAAAAACTTCTGTAGCAAAGAGTTTTAGTGACTAAAAAAGGAAAGAGTAGGTGAGAGTCATTCTTTTGCACTTCATTCCACCAAGAATTAACTTTAGTCCTAGTAAAGGTTTTGGACTAAACCATTGTAAGTCACTGAAGTTCAATGCTCTGCCTCTTGGGTAGGTGCCAAAGTAGTGTTGATGACAGATGTCAGGTTGGTTCAATAATGACATTAGAATACAAAGTTGTTCCTGTCTATGTTTGCATATAAATTTGCAAGTGTATGGGCACAGCGGCCCCTCTTGAGGCTGGTGAAGGGTGGGATTATGGAGGAAAAACAGGGGATAGATGTTAGAGCTTGTCTTTTCTTTATTTACTAGAGCCGGTTCACACTCCCATAAGATCAAGAATCCTGCTCATTAAACAATCAAATTTTACACTTATTTATGCAACAGGATATAGAATCTATTTCATCACCTTCCTCCCCCTAAAATTTTTCAGTCTTATAAATATTTGGAAATCATTCAGTTAAAAGGGGACCAGATAACATAATAGGGCTTTATGAAGGTAATAGAACTTAAATCACAAGGCCCACATGACATTATAGCAGCTATTTATGGTATAATTAAAATCATAAGATGGAAGATTCCATATTAAAAAAATTTGGACTTGATTTATTTTGGGCTTTTGTGCTACAGGAATTCAGATCAGGGAGCAATGGGCCAAGTGCTGGATGGGGAAGATGTCCAGGTGCTAGGTTTAGGTGACCCCATTCTTCCACAGTACCTTTCCTGGATTGGGTTGTCTTGACGTGGGTCTGATGATGCCTGGCAAAAAGAGTCCCTGGTATTTGAACAACCTTTCCCATAAAAGTCTGATTGAGATATTACCATTTTGAATTCTATTTTATCTCTGTTTAATTCACTTCTTATTCACAATTATTCAAGGAGATATGTTCATTAAGTGGTTTCTATTTGCATAAGCAAGTTGGTTAAAAATGACAGATGTGAGTTCCCCAGGTATTGTGTGATAAGACACTTGGAGTGACTTCTTACATCTTAAAAGGAAAGGTTTGAAAATGGATTTCATGCAAGCATGTTGTTATGGCGTAAGGCTAAAAGCTAAAGGAGCTGTTTCATTTTTAATAGATGTGTGAACGCTCCTATTTAAATTTCTTCTTATTCCTGAACCTGAATACCCAACACTTGTTCTTATTCACAGAATACCTTAGCATCAAGTACAATGTCTCCTGGGAAGTTTCAACAAGGGCATGGGACTCTTAACAAAAGCCATGCCCAGGAAATTTTCATTTTTAGTTAAATATCATGTCAATGCCTAAAGGGATGCTCAGGAATGAACATGTATGACAAACAAGACAATAAAATGTATGTAAAAAGTAAGGGTAGGTTTCTCAATCCAATAGTTCCAAGTGTGGCAGGTAATTTAATTTTGAACTTTCAGGTTTTAAAAAGAATGGAATGTTGTTTATAAAAAGTACAAACGATGCTCATGAAGCACCTCACTGTGGTGGTTTATGCTGCGTCTTGCGCTGTCACTGCCTTTAGGACTTGTTCTTACTGGCCCAATTGTGTTCTGTAACTATATATGTTGATTTGCAACATTGCCCTGGCCCAATTCCTGTTTATTTTTACCAAAAGTAATAATTTACTCAAGGGAAAAATTGTGCAAACTAAAAGCACGGAACATGTCCTATTTATGTTGCCCAATTCGTGATCAGAAACTCATAAATACATTAGCAGAATGTCTTATTCCATTGCATTGCAGTCAGCAAGTCCAAAATGAAGTTTGGGATTTTGATGAAGTTTAGGATTCAAATATGTCAAGTGGGAAAACTGATTTCATGCATGCAAGTAAAGGCAGCATGGCGGTATAGGGTGCAGCTGCCAGCTGAAGGGGCTCTCTCTTTTTTAATAGATGCATGAAGAATTATGTTCAAATTTCAAAACCACTCCCTGGAAACTTTCACTTTTAGCTTGATATCATGTCCATGCATAAAGAAATAATTAGGAATGAGCCATCATGACAATCAAAACAATGAAGGATTTCAGAGAAGAAGAGACACAGCAATAATTAGTAAATTATTGAAAATGAGATACCAGTATTATTAAATGTAGTGGAGTGGGGTGTTTTTAGGGTGTAAAACTATATTAACCATCTCTATTTCAGTTTCAGGTATGATTCTAACAAGTTTTCAGTAATTGCACATTTTATGGAAAAAGCGTAATGGGAAAGATACTCTTACCATCTGTTTTCTTTGAATCATTTCCGATGTTGGAGTGATCCTTCTTGTCTGTCTTATTTTTACCATCTTTCAAGTCACCTGAAAGCAATAAACGTGACAAACAGTATATGTATACAGCTGAAGGGGAAGTTATGAATATCTCTAAACCTGCCAAGGTAAAAAAAAAAAAAACGTGTGGCATAATTTTATAGTCACAAGGGAGTACATGTCTCAGTGTAAACATCTTCCATCACCATGCATTAGATTCTGGTAATTGGATTATGATAGGAAATCAAGATTGAAAGTTCCTAACAGACAAGGTTGTAATTAAGTCCACAGTATTTGTCTTCCAAGAAAGGCAGTTCAGAATTATGGTTAGACTGTGGAGTGAGGAAAAGTCTGGGTTAAGTGTAAATTCTACAAATTAATAGCTATTTAACATCTCTGTGCTTCAGTTTTCTTATCTGCAAAATGGGTTTATAATGCCTATCTCCTGGCATTTAAAACGTGTAAGTACTGAATATGACACTGCTCAATGATAGCTGTTATTATTCTAAAACAGAGCTATAAATAATATTCTAATTAACAAGCTTGTCAGAGTATAATTTATAAGGTTAAAAATTTCACCCTTAAACAAATGTAGAATGAACATCTGTGAAAAATACACTGAACTCATGTATGAGGGAGATGGTAAGGATGGTTCTAAGAGCATTTAAGGAAATAGGCATTTTAGAGACATGTTAAAATAAGATTACTAAGAGTCAGAAATGTTTATACTCCACAAGGCAATAAAACTATAGCCTTTTTGGTTATCTTCTCTATAAGTCAAAATTTTCCAAATTAGCAAGTAACTCCACAGTTATAAGAGTTAATTAGTAAATAACAAAATAAGACACAGCCATATTCTCCAACAGCAGGGGTCAGCAGATTACAGCCTATGGGACAATCAGGCTTGCCACCTGTTGGGGTCAATAAAGTTTTATTGGCATGCACTCCTACACATCCACTTACATATAGTCTGTGACTGCTTTCATGTGGCAAAAATAGAAACAAACGAAAATATTTTCTGTCTAGCCCTTTAAAGAAAAAGTGTGCTAATCCCTGTCTAGGGTAATTTAATGATCCGTAGGCAGGTCTGTTCAATCATAGGCCAGTGTCATACCAAAAGATCATGGATACCTTCCCCTAGCTTTATTTTAAAGTTTTGGCATATTTATTTTTAATCAATTTTACTAATATAAGCTTTCTTTTTAGTCCTATATACATTTAAGAATATGTTACAACTCAAATGTTGTGCACCTACTGAAGCAAAAAGATCCTAACACTAACTAAAGTGAGGATAGTATCCAAGCCTCCAAGATGTGTATGTAAGGAAAAGGATTTATCTTTTTGTTTTTTAGCTTTGTGCCAGGAAGTGTGCTAGATGCTTTGTACGCATCATTTCATTTAATTCTTACAGCAACCTCATTAAGAAGGAACTGCTATTGGAAGTAGAGAAACTCATCAAAGATTCACTCATTAAATGGTCAATTTGCTAAATTATTAACTCACCAAATGATTGAGGATGTTTTACAAGTTTGAATTTTTCCTGACATCACTGCAGCCACCTGGGCAAACTCTAGCCAGTCCATCTGCATCTTGTGTAACCCACTGTCCCCCAGCATGCATTTCAGACACTCCCCTGGCCTGGCCTCTGATCCCAACCTTATATCCACATCTCCCTCCGGTGGCAAACTGTTCCTGTCAGCTACTGTAGATCTGGTTTAAGCCACTTGTCTGACAGGGTTTTTTTTGTTTGTTTGTTTTTGTTTTTATTTTAACAAATGGTCAATAGATCTTTCTACAAAGTACTCTCACTTAAGTCAACTTGTAAGGAATTGACCTGAAACACATATGACATATCATCCCTATTTTATGGCCGAGGAATCTAAGGCGCACAGATAACACCACAGGCCACGAGAGTCGGTCTGACTCTAGAGACCAAGTTTTCAACTATTGTAGTTATTAGCTTCTCTTCAAAGCTCAATTTTTTGATTTCAGGTTTCCATTTCTAAATGCCTTTGGATCTACAAAGAAATGATGACCTAAGGCTAATGCAAGGCTATTTTTGGCTGTGATGCAGTCTCTGAAGTTTGTACTTCTAATTGGACAAATCCTAAGCTAAATTAGATGTTAATAAACTCCCCCAGGTTTTTCTCATTCTTAATTCAGAAATGGGAAGAATGGAGAAGAAGGGACGTCCACCTTGCCCTGGGCCCAAACAGGTCAGGTTTAAGTAAAGGACATGATTATCTCCTTCTACCACCAGCGCTTGTCCAAAGAGAAGGGTCTCTTTAGAAGTCCCATGAAACAATCCCGACAACAGCCTTTCCCTCTTTTAGGACACCAAGGATTCAAGGATATCAAGCCCTGTAGTCAAATTAGTGTCATGCAGAAAAATAACCCTTCTTCCTGAAGCGAGCTTTCACACCCCAAATGCACTCTATTTTAGGCCTTCCAGCTTGCTCTGAACTGGAGTTTGACCCACAGCTGCAGCAAGACCAAGATGTCTTCCTAAAGTCAGCAGAAATGGTTCGATTTTGCTGGATGCCAGCCAGTAGCCCATGCAGTCTGTATACTCAGCCAGGGTCTGGAAGGCTGAGGGAGGAAGTTGCCTTGATCCAGAGCTTAAAGGAACCTGTAATTGGCAAGAGGAGAGCAAACCCCCAGAACTTCTCTAACCAATATCCTTCAGCCTTCACCTGGAAAATGCCTTGGGCAACCCATAAGGAGGGGTGCCTAGGAAAAGACCCATGCTTATTTGATGATGTTCCCTGAACAGAACCCATTAGGCAATTTCCCATGGGTTGGGCATAGAGTAATGGCTGATGTGAGCTGTTACTCAATAAACAGGGGCAAACAGAAGAGCCTTTCTGGGCAGTTATAAATCATTTTAATTAGGCTGCTGTAACAAAGTCCCCAATCACCATTAGCCTTTCTTATTATTGCTCTGAATTGATTTCTTTTCCCACCTCTGATTTCATACTCAATTTTTAAGGGAAATGGTAGGCTAGTGCTTTGGAAAATAAACACAGCTGTGGAATCAAGCCAGCCTTGTTGGAGAGGCAGGCTCCTGTGTCTTTCAGGATCCCTACACCCCTGACATCTTCAAAATAAATTTCTGTCCCCTCTGCCCTCTCTGAGTCTTTGTAGGATTTATGACCATTTTTTTTGTGTGTGTCTGGCTTGTTAGTGTTTATTGGTTTCTCTTACTGACTAAGCCAAGGGTTAGCAAACCAGGACCCAGGGGCCAAAGCTGATCCTGCTGCCTGGTTTTATTATCATCTACAAACTAAGAACGGCTTTTATATATTTTTAAAGGACTGGGAAACAAAAAGATGGATATTTTGTGATGTGAACATCAGATGGAATTCAAATTTTAATTTCCATAAATAAACTTTTATTGGAATACAGCCTCAATCATTTGCTTTGGTATCATCGTGAGTGTCTTTCATGATAAATGGCAGTGTTGAGTAGCTGCAACAGAAACCATATAGCCCCAAAGCTGCAAATGTTTACTATATGGTCCATTACATAAAAAGGGTGCCAACCCCTGAAACAAAAAGATACCAAATATATATAGACTGCAGGCACAACTCCTATTTCTCCTAATCGCCACTTTCTCTGCCATCACCAAATCTGCAAATGATAAGGGTGTGGCAGTTACATAGTAGAGAATAGAGACACCCATGGAACTGAGTTTCACCTGGGATCTCTACTGAAAGGTAGCCTGACGTTAGGCAAGCGATTTAATTTAATTTTTCCTACTGTGAGATGGGAATAAGTATCTTGACAAAATTGTTGGGATTTTTAAATGCTTTAATCTTACGTTAAAAATCTCAAGATACAGCATCTGGCACATTAGGTATTCAATAAATGGCAGTACTGTTATGATTACTGATTTTTTTCAAGACATGTTTAGCCAGAAGAAAAAAGGAGGGAAGAAATGCATTTTTCCTCTTTGGTGGCCCCTCCTTTGGAGGAGTGATTTAGCTAGGAGGAGGAGCCAAATTACGCAGTGGTCACCCCAGCCACCCACACTTCCCTTCCATGTGTTTTCCACAAGATGCACACATATTCAGTCCCTGCTGGGGGGTGGAGGCAGTGAGCCCCAAACATGCCTGGTTCTCCCAATGTCGAGTTGTAAAGCTCAGCTCAGGTCAGATGCAGGAAGAAGCCCAGGTGTTTAGTAGAACAAGTCCATGTTCCCAGGCCAGCTCCAGTTGCCATGGAACTGACACCTTCATCATTGACTTTCTGATTTTCCTATCTATTTCTTTGTTGGTTCAGATCTCAGGAGGGGAAGAGAGGGATGGTTTATACCACCCTCTAAAACTTCAACAGGAGCATCATAAATTCTTATTAACAATTTTTGTTCTGGATAATGATGCATTTCAATACAAAATATACTAAAATGTCTCCAGAGCCAGGCTGCTAGGGACTGGACTAGCTGGAACAATGGCCTTCCCTGTCCCTTAAGAGTGGTCATGAAGATTAGCTGAAGGAACTAATACAAACTTCTTGGAGTGTGATATGAGCTATTATCATTATATGTTTTAAAATACTCTTTTATGATTATACATAAAACATGATATATATACTACTATTTTTAAAAGTTGGAGACTGCCATGTAAGTACTTTGTACTATTTCTCATTTCCCCAGGCACTGTAGCGTAGTAGCTCTAGCTAGAGGAAATCGCCTGGTCCTACCAGGCAGGTAAGAATAAGAATATGGAAAGAGAGAACTTAAAACAGCACCTGGCATAAGTCAATAGATGCTATTGGTTGTTATTTTCTTTGTAGTTTTTGGTACCATGATTTTTATTAAGGCTCATAAGAGAACCATGATGTATGTACATTGAACAGAGACAATGAAAGGTTAAATAATCTGGCCAAGGCCACCGAGAAGAGGCAAAGATGTAACTTGAATCCGGGTCTGTCAGGCTGCAAAGCTACCTTTGCTACCCAGCCACAACCTGGCACTTGCAAGCTGCAGACTCTGAACTTCCTGCCCTTCCCAAAACAAGGGGATCAAGTCCATGCCCTCGCAGGGCACTCATCAAGTCCTCTGTGTCTGGAAGCCTCTTTTTCCTATTTTATCAGCAAACTTTAGCTCTTAACACCTAGCTGAGGCCCCATCTCCTCTTGAAGCCTTCTCTGCCTTCACCCTATCTCACAACCCCCTGTCCCAACAAAGCTAATGTCTTTTTTTTGCAGGGTGGTTTTTGGGGGCATTTTATCTGCCACACCTTGGCTGTTATTTGTCTGCATTTCACTAGAATTATTTGTGAGGCTGTCTATATCCTCTGTGACATCATAGATTTCCCAGGGCTTCTTCATTCTAAATCCCTTGTAAAGCACTTGACACATAGTTGTCAATATTTGTTGTATCAAATATAAGACATCATGAATTAGCTGCACATTATGGTGGTCAGCTCGTCCCAGCTTGCCTGGAATATTTTTCTGTTGTTTATTTCTGTTGTTTATTTTTTATATTTGTTCTTATTAGTTATCATGACAGTAGAATGTATTTTGACATTTATGGAGTATAACTTCCCATTCTTTTGGTTGTACATGATATAGAATTATACTGGTCATGTGTTTATATATGCACATAGGAAAGTAATGGCCTGGACCATTTTTTATTTTAAAACTGAAAGTCTTGCTGGGCCCAGTGGCACATGCCTATAATCCCAGCAGCTGGGGAGGCTGAGGCAGGAGGATCACAAAGTTCAAAGCCAGCCTCAGCAAAAGTGAGGCGCTAAGCAACTCAGTGAGACCCTGTTTCTTAATAAAATACAAAATAGGGCTGGGGATGTGGTTCAGTGATTGAGTGCCTCTGAGTTCAATCCCCTGTACCAACACAAAACAAAACTGAAAGACTTGCATTCCAGGAAATTCTTAATTTCAGGCAAATTAAAATGGTTGGTCACCATAATACCTGCACGTCTGTGGGTGGTATGTACATACAAACAGCAAGAGGCCTCAGGCAGACCTAACACCTGGCTCTCCTGGGGCTGGAACAATTGAGAAGTTCACTTTTCATCCACCCCCCTGGCAGCGAGCTCCCAAGACTATGCTGGTGTGGTTAGTGGTAATTTGCACCTGGTGGGCAGGTGGGCACTGGCTAGAGTCTCCAGGGCAGCTGGGAGAGCCAGAGAGATGCCAAGCTTCCTAGGGGGGAAGACGCAGGGGAGCTGGTGGCTGATTCTGATAGGATCCTGCTGACATCCCCAGCCAGGGAAGATGGGATCAGCAGGAGCCGATGGTCAGGGAGGCCCTGGGCCAGGAGCTGCTGACATGGGGAAGCGTCTGGCCAGCTCCCACTCATCACACCATGAACACCCCAGAGAGCCACTGTCCAGCGGGCAGTCTACTCACCATTCTGCTGCTTTTCTCCTGACTTCTCCGCTTTGGGGTTCTTCCCACGAGGCTCGTCGCTTTTGTTTGTGCGAGTTCCGTTGACGTGACTCTTGGGGTCTCCAGATGCCTTTTTCTCGGTCTTGCTGGACGAGCCTTCTTGGGCCTGGCTTTTGGCTTCCATTTCCTTTTGTTTCTCCTCTGCAGCCAGGCGGGCCTTCTCCTCGGCCTCCTTCTTGGCCTTCTCCTCTGATCCGCAGCAAGTCAGGCAAAGAGGAGGAAGGGGGGAAAGAAGTCACACCTTTAGGAGAACTGCCTCTTTCAAAAACAGTAGTGACAGTGATCTGCAGTGGGAATTAATACACTCCAATTACCCAAGGTGTCCAGTGCATGTTCTGAGGGTATTTTTAGTTAACCCAAGCCATATTGGCATATGTATTTAGGAAGACAATAAAATAGCCTCATCATCATGTCATTTCTGAAAACAGTGAGTCAGAGGAAAGGGCAGGGAGAAAATCATTAGGATGACAATGATTAATGAACCAGTATTGTATTGGACATTATTATTACTAATAATAACATTTATTGAGTATGTTCTCTAGGCCAGGTATTATGTAAAGTGCTTTTCGATTGAAGGGTTTTTTTCATTCATTTTTTTTGGGGGGGGTACCAGAGATTGAATTCTGGGGCACTCAACCACTGAGCCGCATCCCAAGCCCTATTTTGTATTTTATTTAGAGACAGCGTGGAAGTTGCTTAGTGCCTCACTTTTGCTGAGGCTGGCTTTGAACTCACAAGCCTCCTGCCTCAGCCTCCTGAGCTGCTGGGATGAGGGGCGTGTATCACTGCACCTGGCTCTTTTCATTCTTAAAACAACTTTTCAGCAGCTACTAATATTATGACTCTATTTTATAGATATGGAAATTGAGAAGATAAAAGAGAGAAGATAAAAGTTTCCTCCAGCCACAGGGAAAAGAAAAAGAACAGCATTTTATGTAGGTTTGCTTAGGACATAGACATACACGATTAATTGCAAAACAAAAAGGGCAAATAACCAACAACAGAACAATACATATTCAGGCCACTGTTTGTTAATTAATAAATAAGAAGAGGACAGTTGTGCCCAAACAAACATGGAACTCAACTGTCCTCAGGATGAGAGATGGCTGTTAGGTTGGCCAGGTACTGAGTATCTGTGTCCTCCCCTTTAATGAAAGTGCGTCAGCATTATTTCAAATTCATATGAAAGGGCTTGGCTCTGTGCTTAATGTAAAGTACAGCATCACTGCTTAGGTCGAATATTTATGAAAAGGTTGTTTTTTTCACTCAATGAATATTTATTGAGCAGCTACAGTGTCAAGCACTCTTTTAAGTATTGGGAATACAATGGAATCATGGAAAAGCTCATTTTTAAACAAACAAATGACTGAAATAATTTCAAATGGTATAAAGTGCTTTGCAAAAAAACAAAGCAGAGTGAAGTAATGAAATACCATCAGCTTTAGAAATGTTCAAAGGACATTGAGTTGGCTACTATGGTCAAAGCAGATTTGGCAAATGGTCACTAAGAGATGATGTGGTCAAATGGCCAAGGACAGGCAGGGTTCAGAACATGCACGGGCTGGGAGGCATCCAGGGGAGCTCTGTGGACGAGAACAAGATTCATGGAAAGCTCCCAGCAGAGCCCAATCCTCCTTGAGGTCTAGAGACTCACTCTCTATATGTTCAGCTCACTCAAAAGGCCTTCTAGACTGTGCCATCAACCTCCACTGGGAAAAGCATGACTATATTTTTCTCTAGATGTCTTAAAAATGCCCACATCTCATTATCAAGGGTCCTATTTTTTTTTTCCCCTGTTAGTCCTGGTCTTAAGAAAAAGCTTGGACTTCATAGATAGTTTGTTTGTTTTTAATTAAGCAAATACAAGAGTGGTTATGCATCTAATCATGTTTCCCTTTGTTTTAGCCGCTAAAGTGCTCAAAGTTCAAATTTTACTTTTTCTGCCTGTCTCTTTGCTCACCCTCAAATGTTCTCTCTAACATATTAGGACATTTTCATTCATTATTTTATTGCTCCATCAACCCATCTATCCGTTCACCCACCTACCCACCCATCCATCCACTCATCTGTCCAAACCTAAGGCCTGGCCTCACCCCAGACAAATTAAATCAGATTCTGAAGAGACAGGAACCAAAATAGGATATGTGAAATGTTTTTTTAGGTGATCCTAACAAGCAGTAAGGGTGGAGAAAGACTGATTCAAAGTTCAAGAGTTTGCCATTCAGCATGTCGTGACTCTCTACTTCCCAACATGATTCGTTACAGCTTACACTGAAAGGAGAAGGAAATATTTCTTTATAAATAACAAAATGACGTGCCTACATGTCATGTCTTCTGACTTCTACAGAAAGGTAGGACTTAAAAGTGAAAGAACGCCCACGTGGATGGCAAGACGGTATTCCCGGTGGACTGCAGGGCCACAGAAGATCCCTAGAATGCTCCCCCATGCTCCCCCTCATACTTCTTTAATGCCCTAAGGATAGGGGTTAAATGTCACCTCCAAGCACTGCTTGGCACAGCACCTGGCACATAGCACATATTCATGAAGGACCTGTTGACTCAGTGAAATGTACCCCAGGGGTGTGGTGGACACTCTCTACCAATGTACCTTCCTTGTCCGTTTTCCATCTTCAGCTATCTAGATGGATACACAATACAGAAAATGTGCCTATTCTGAAAGAGTCATGTGACGAATATTAGCTTCCTTTAACTGCTAATGTGAGTAAAATGATGACTGTTCTGACCTACACGGGGAGGGAAACTGAGGCAAGGAGGAGGAGAATTCATGTATACTCAGCCTTCAGTGTCAGGGAAAACAATTTATATCTCTTCCAACAGTATCCCTACTGCCGACAAGCTGTCAGCATTTAAAATATCCCTAAGTTGAACATAATTTTGATGAAAAGTGAAGCTGTTAAATTCTGGTTTGCTACCAAAGACCATAAAATATTATTTGAGCAAAAAAAATTCATTTGACAACTGAGTCAGACCAATTTTCCACAGGAATCTAACAAAAGTTTTGTTTAAAAACCGAGAGGAGACATATTTCAGAAACAAATCTGCTTCTGCTCAAGTTCGGCTGGCATCGGGCAATTGATGTTTAAATTCATGAATTTAAATGCATTCTTTTGGCATCATGATCAAATTAGATATGAGCCTTCCCCATTGTGTGGTTCCCTTCTCTGCAGTGATCACTTTCCAGAAGGTGTCTCTGCTCATGTCTGAAATAGCTGATACAAGTGCCATCGGCCCAATGGGTACCCTAAAAGATACTACTCAAAACAAGTAGACCAAAAACAGCAAAACACAGAAAACAACGCAGCAACAAGAGGCAGGCTCTCCACTGCAATCAGATTCCTTCATGTTTCCAAGGTGAAATTACTAGAACAGACAAATAAGAAAAAAATAGGTGGCCGCACTGTTGATTGGTTGGCACTGTTAACTGGTTCATACCAACAGGTTCCGATGATGTCATGGATACAAAGAACGCATTTTCAAGTCTGAGGTTTAGCATCCTTGGCACCCCTAGGCCTCTAGGCTAGCAGAATTCAAACTGCATTTTCCAATTGCCTTCCATTTCAAACTATGTGTCACGATGTGACTCACTATGAAAATGGCCAATGGCAAGCAGCTCAACAGTTAGGGTGGAACAGAGCCCTCAAGATCCAGAAATTACACTCCTCCTAACAGACAGCTGATTCTGCCCCACACTGAACATCTGTAGAGACTCAAAGAAATACACTTGATTTCTTTATTATTTACATTCTTGAACAATAATACTATGGGCTCTGAGGTTAATAATGCACTGGGATAGTTACTCCTTGATATAGCTTTCTGAATCTGTACTTAAACTACCACAAACAAAGAGAAAGAAAAAAAAAAAAAACAGGAACAGGGGACTGACAGACAGACTGGGGGGGAGGGCGGTGGCCCTGGGAAAGCAACCAAAATACTATGTGATCTTTCCATCGTGTTCAGCACCAGAACAATAGAAAGGAACTTTCAGGCACATCTAAGAACTCACAGGTGTTCCCAGAGCAACTTCCCGAAAATTTTAGTCAAAGAAGTACTACGGGTGACAGAAAATTTCAATTAATGCTAAAAACTTAAAAACGAGGAAAACATGTCAACTGGGAAAGTGAAACTAGCAAAATTTATTGCCAAATAAAATTGTTGCTAAACTAGAAATGAAATTTGATGAAACTATGAAAAAACAATATTTAAGAGTAATTTGATTATAAAGGAACACTTCACAACAGGCAAAGTGGTGCATGCCTGTAATCCTAGCAGCTCAGGAGTATGAGGGCAGAAAGATCTTGAGTTCAAAGGCAGCCTCAGCAAAAGCAAGGTGCTAAGCAACTCAGTGAGACCCTATCTCTAAATAAAATGCAAAATAGGGTTGGGGATGTGGCTCAGGAGTGGAGTGCCCCTGAGTTCTATCCCTGCTATGTTCCCTTAAAACAAACAAACAAACAAACTTCACTTATAACCAACTAGTTTGAAATTCCCCTCTTCAATAAAAGCTGAGAATTGATGAAGGAAATGAGTAAAAATTAACTGAATTTCTCAACATTGCAATGCAGCATCACTATATGTATACTCTTCCATGTATACATTTATGGAGAATTATAAGTAAATAGAAAACCTTAAAAGTAATTTCTAGAAAAATGAAATTAGGAGGTATAAAGAGAAGAGGCCATAGCAAAGTTAAAAGCATAAGACCAACTGGGGTAGAGTACAAATTGGAAGATATTTTGACAACTAAAGAATTATCATCCTCAATATATAAAAATAATTATGACTCAATGACATGAATGTAAACATTCTGATGGAAAAATAAAGGAGGAAATGGTAAACAGAAATAGGCACTCTTACTATATGTCCAATTGAGAGAGAAAATTTCTTTAAAAATTTAGAGAAATTTTATAGTATAATAACCAAGAATTTTAAAAGTTTTCATCTGCCTTGACAGAGAAATATCAGATCTAGGAATTTATACCAAATAAATAATCTGAAATATGCTCAAAAACTTTTGAATATGTAGGTACTTAATAATGTTATATGTAATAGTGAAGTGGAAGTCTAATATTGAATAATAAAGAAGGATTCAACTATGGTTTTGTAAATGATGGAGCCACTTAAGTCAGAATATGCAGCATCAGGATAAAATACTTAGAATAGAAAAAAAAATAGAACACAACACATATTCTAGTATGATCCCAATTTGGTAGGGGAAACCTTTACTTACACATATACATAGTTAAGCAAATAAAAAAGAATGACTTTAGGATATGAACAATAGTTAAAATCCTGAATAGGTCATAAGCACTTATGGCCTAAACACATGATATTCTTACATCAGAAAATTCTTGTTAAAATATATTAAATATTGGATGGAAATTGATATAGATCTGACTTGCAAACTGTTATACAGAATATCTTGATTGGGAATAATGATATTTAGCCCTAAAAGTTATAAAAAATCTTGATGTTACATTTCCTAAGAACTATGAATTCTGGCCTAGTTGGCTTTGTAAATTAGGTTGGTTAATAAAACCAAGACTTTAGATCCAATTCCATTTCCAATCAGTTTAATGACAATATATGTTCAAATGCCACATGGAGGGCAGACACTTTTGAAATCAGGGTCCTCTGAGGGGAAATGGGGGAAAACAAAGCAATGTGAAACACAGCCTGGGATTATCTAATCAAGCAGACCACCAAAACAAATGCAAATGGGACTTCTCATTAGCATCAGTCAAACAGTCAACAGTATTACCAGGAAGCCAAAAATGTTATAAAAACATTAGCTTTAGGTTGGGTATTTTTACCACCTGCATCTTGACTTTGCTTTACAACTGCTAACCTTCTTTTCTAAAGTATTTAGATAACAGCTGCCATTTATCAGGCACTACCATGTGCAGGCTCTGTTCTTAGTGCTTTGCATGTTATCTCTCTGTGCATCAACTCTGTCACGTTCATTAACATCCTCAAAATGGACTCTAAAAGAACCCAGCTGAATTTGCCAAAGAACCTTGCAAGTCAGGATTCAATTCTCCATTTGCCCACTTACTGAAATTTGCCTTGGTAACCAAACAATCCTCCCACAAAATACCCATAACCCGGGCTCTGCACCTGGATCCATCTTCTTTCTCCTTGTTCCCATTCCTAATGCCTCCTTCAGGTCCACTCAGGTGTTCTTCAAATCCTGACTACACAGGGCCTTAACCAAAGAACCAAGCAGGGTGAGGGAATAGTCATTCTATGCTGCTAAAAAAGCCTAACACATCTTTATCTGCTTACCTAATAAATTGAAAAATTTGAGCTATTTACCTGTCCTTTTTTAAAAGCCAGTTTTCCATAGGAAAAGAAATTGCCTAGTATTTTCCCAGGTAATTAGTTTCAGAAAGTAATTTTTGTAAGCTAGATGATTGCAAACAAATTATTTTGAAGTAAGTACCTCTTTAAACTGTGCCTTGTCAGGCCTTAAATTTTCAAGTGCAATTGATTGCAAGTGTGTGCTTCTTTTGAGATGATGCAGGAGCTGCCATGGCTGCTTGCAATGCCTGCCAACATGGAGGATTTGAATGTTTGCAGCATTTGAATGGACTGTGAGCCCTCCAACACTTAAAATATGGAAGAGGTGTTGGCTCCCTCTGCAGCTCAGGGTGCAACATCTGTCCCAAATGATAAGGGTCCAATTATGCCCTAGAAGCACCATAAATACAAACACTTTGCCTCTCCTCAATGAGCAGCCATGCGGACAGGATTTTGTGGGCAAGTCACATTGTTGGACCTTTAAATAAATCCAACGGTGAGGATGAGGCTGCTCCTCTCCCCTGGGAGCAGACCCGGCCTACCCTGATGTATGAGGATCAAGACTGCCAGTCATGCTCTTCCACTATATGGTATCAAAGTATCCTCCAAATTTCACAAGTTGAAATTTTAATCCCTAAATTTATACATTGCTTCGAGGTGGGACCATTGGGAGGTAATTAGGATTAGAAAAGGTCATGAGTCTGGGCATCCATGATGGCAGGAGTGGTTCTGTAGAAAGGGGAAGAGAAGCTGAGCTAACATGCTTGGTCTGCCTCAACAAGTGATGTCCTCCACTAGGCAGATGCCAAGAGTGTGTTCTTGGACTTCCTAGCTTCCAGAACTGTGAAACAAATACATTTTTAGCCTATATCAATTTCCAGACTTAGGTATGTTGTTATAGCAACAGAAAACGGACTAAGACATCCACCATCCCACCCTTCTTTTCACACGTTGCGCTGACACTGGGAGAATAAAATTGTGGGGAGTGTATTTGGGTTAAAACCCTCCTTGACTGCTGTGAGGGTCTGGGGCTCAGGGTTGGTGGGGGCTGGTGACAAGTGCAAGGTTGCGACTGAAGTCCTAGGCTTCCTATGCAGGCAACTCCAAAGTAATGTCTATGTCCCTCTCCTGCCAAAGACTGCCACCACTGAGGATAAAGATGTATGTTACTCATCTCTATGTCCTCAGCACTGGACACAAAACAGATGTCAGCAAAAACTGACTGTTGTTGAAGGCTCACCTCCGTACAGCCCACTGGAATCAGGCCCTTCACTGAGTCCCAAGAGTCACCCACGTCTGTATCTCTGGCTGGAACCAGGCCTCACAGCTTTACCCCCTCACATCAGGTTTGTGCCACCTCTGTTTATGGTGCCTCCGTACCTAAGATACAGGCTGCTCACGTAGCACATGCGGATCACGAAGTTCATTTGTTCACACCAGCATGTTAAGCTTCCAAGAAATGAGTGAATTTCCATTTTTGTGAATGGTCCCACAAGACAGTTTTTCTGGTCTGAACTTTTGATGATGTTGACTCAGGGGATTCTTTTTACTTACAAGTCACATCATCTCAGAAAAGCAGTTTTACGGTTGGAGCAATGAGTGAATGGAAATAGTGAATATGAAAGAAAGCATAAAAATGTATGCACATAAGGAAAGAAAAGCTCCTAATATCCCAACATAATGGCCAAGGTGGGTATTGGCTAGGCTTTGCTTAGGCAAAAGAAAAAGTAAAGGCCTCCGAACATGAAATGAGTCTGACAAGATGGTCTAACAAAAACCAAGAAATAATCATACCCCTCCCCCACAGAATCATCACACCAGGAAAAGGAGTCCAGTTAAATCACAAAGGGCAAGATGGCAGAAGGCACCAAGGCCTGCCACAGTTTACCACACATTGAGTTTCAGGTAATTAAGATCAAAGATGGGAGAGCCTAATTAACAGCGACTGCAGCACCCTGAGCACTTGTGTTTTATTTGCCACATCCATAGTCAGGGAAGACAACCATTGCTTCATGAGTGAATGTTGAGTTGGTTTAGGTGTCCTGGAAGATTCTTTCCCCCATAGCATATTACCTTTTGGCACCTTGGCTCTCCATCTCTCCCGATTGATGTGCACCACCTCCGTCCAAGTGGCTTTAAAGCTCTTGTAGTCAACAGGGATAACGGAATTGTTGATGGGGGCACTTCCTTCTGACCCAGAGCTCTTGACACCTGATCGCTGCTTTGCATCTGATGAGCTGATGCTGTTCAAACTGAAGGACCAAATAAGAAATTGCATCGAAGAGGAGTGTTACTCTTTGAAAGATGCATGCAACAAGCAAGCCCAAGAGAAAGGCAGTTAGCACTCGTCAATACATTGTCATAAAATTCCTGGGTCCTGAAAATATATTCCTGGAAATACATTTTCCAAATATGAAACGTGGGAAATTCTAAATTTTTAGCAGGAAAAATATCGACCCTGCACCCTCAGGAGTCTTCACAGTCCTGCTTCTCTTCTGGGCTGAGTGATCCCTTCTTTTTTCCTGTACCTAGAATCCACCCACATGAATTTTCCAGTCTATTGTCTCATATAAATGAATTTGAACTTGGAAATCTACTTGTTCCGCAGTTTACCCCCTGCTGCTACACTGGCTGCTTTTCCAAGTTACCCAGCAATTTGGTCCTCTCTCTCTCCAGCTCCTCCCTTGTCCTGGACTCAGGGTCCCTTTGATCTTGGTTTTCTGAGTACATAAGGAGTGAGGATTTCCTCATGTGCCTTGGAGATGACAGAGAGACACAGACAGCTTGGAGGTTGTGGAGGATGAAGTTGTGCAATTCATTACTTTAAATGAATACTACTTTATTCTTCGAATGTGGGTGATTTAGCAAATATCAGAAAATACCATCCTGACGAAGTATCTCCTACTCCTCAGTGGCTAAGGCCGTGACTGGCATAAATGACTATGACAATGAAGGCTAATTTGTCACTAAATGACAGTGAAGACTGACTGGAGAAGCAAGGTAAGTTTCAACCAGTGCTTAAAGAGCCCTGGGATTGTGAGGACTTGGTCACGGGCTTCTGTCCTCTTTGTTAGCAACCTCAATGGTGGTCCATCTTGAGTATGAGTATCCCTGACATCTCCCTGTCCTAATGTTCCTCTTACTTCCCCCCTCCCCATTAACTTGTTTTTCCTGATCTTTTCTTCTCTTCTTCCTATCCACTCTGTTTTTTCCTCCTTGATGATGAAGCCCAGGGTTTTGCATGGATGAGGAGGAGAATGTCATTATAGTAGTAGCAGTAGTAATAGTAGCAATAGTGTGTAGTAACACTAGCTATAGTAGTGGTGGAGGTATTAGCAATTTTCATTCAAGTCATAGTGGTGGCAGTAGTAATAGTACTAGCAGTAGTAGTAATATAGGTGTAGTAGTTGTAGGAGCAGCAGCGGTAACCTTGCCAATAAAGACTAATTGCCAGCTTTAATACAGTTAAATTTAATGCCAGATTCTGTTCTAAGCAGTTATATAATGAATAACTCACTGAATCTTTCCAGCAACCTATGAATATTATAATCCACACTTTCTCAGATGAGGAAACTGAGGAACCTGTTTGAGACTGCACAGGTAATAAGTGATGGAGTCTGGATTCTAACACCGGCATGCTCACTCCAGAGTCTGAGCTCTCCTACTCTACACTCTTCTCCATTTGGAACAATAGCACTGAAGCAGAAGGCGATTAAAAATGTTCAGGGTTATTTTATTTTTTCTCTATTCATTCTCTTCCTGAATCTAGAAATGAAAGTCAGTGTCAGTTCTTGTAAGAACTCTGATCAGTGGTTCTTTTTGAAGAATCAGGAGCAAGGCTTTCTGGGAACAGTGGGCTAAAGTTCAATGGTAGCTCCTGCCATGAGCAAAGGCCAAGAGAGGACAGGGGTTGGGGGTACCAGGGACCTGCCAGTCATAATTTGAATATGGGTTACCATTTTCAGGCCAGTCTGGAGAGTACAGAGAGTAGAGTTTCAACTTCTCTGAGGAAATAAGCAGCAGATCTCTCATAAAAAGGAGGTGAGGGTCCCCACCAACAGGAGGGGATCCTTGTAGACAGGCCACCCCCCCCTCCCCAAACTTCTCCACTGACCTTGAGCGCCTCTGTCCTGTCCCACCAGTTTGGGAGGTTTCATCGATTAATGGACTCACAATCTTTTCGGTCATGTCCGTGAGCACAGTGAAGGTCGGTTCCACAATGAAATCAATAAAACCTGCAGAGAAACAGCAATGTCTCAGAGGAACTACAGAGTCAATGGGCTGTTCCACGCTCCCCAGGGGAAACAGGTGAGTCTTTTCTGTCTTTTAAAATTCATCGGTACAGGAGCTGAAGATCAGATTAAGAGCCAGCAGGTCTTATTCGTTTAATAGATTCCTTGATTTGAATGCCATGAGTCAGCTCCGAGTCTCCTTCCTAACTTTATGGCTTTTCAATAGGAAATACAATTAAGTACTTTAAAATACATATTCAGCACCTGCTGTGGAATAAGCAGTGTGATAGGAATTGTGAGAAGAATAACAGCACCGGCCTGCCCACAAGGAATTTACAGGAGAGATGAAATGAACACAAAGATGACCCCAAGGAGCATTTGGAGGGCCAGAGGAGGACAGATGAATACTCCTGGGAAGGTGTGAGAGAGAGGGGACACTTCCCTCCGCTGACAGACCTGTGAACAGCTTTATGAGGTTGTAGTGTTTGAGCTGAGGCCAAAAGAATGGGTGGAGAGGAAGACACAGCCACTTACTCTGGGTAGACAGGGACAGGGTGAAGTGGCAGATGGGACAGTGTCGGAGGTGTTGAGCAATGTTTGGGGGCTTCTGGACTCTTTTAGACTTGAGAAAAGAAAGCTCAGAAGGTAGATTACCCATAGCTCAGGAAGGGGGATTCCTAGGGAGCTGGGACCTAACAGGGCACTGGAAATCCCTGATGATGTCTGGGCAACACTGTAATAAGATTTTCAAAATGTTCTTTGGGAAAGTTAATATGGCAAGATGGATGGGAGGGGAGTGAGCCACGTGAAAGTTGGAAGGAAACTAATATCAACCAAAGGATATTTTCCCGGTGGATATCTGGAAATGTATGAATACATATTTGGTTTTCACCATGATGGATGGAGGTGGGGGTGATACCAGTCTTTGACGCTCAGCAGTGAAGGATGCTAAAAATTCCTACCATGGAATTGACAAAACAGGAATTGTCCTAACCACGTATCAGTAGTATCCTGATAAAGAAACACTGAAAGCCACATTTGTGTTCTAGTTAATTATAGTATAATGTTGAGCTCAAACTCAAGTATTTGATGGTCCCATTGTGACTTTTCCCCCAAGTTAAATGCAACATATCCAAACCAAAGCTAACATATTAGCTTTTCCTCCAACCTTGTAACTGAGATTGAGGTCCAACCACGTACTCTAAATTCCCGCCTTTCCCAGAACCTTGTATTCAGCCAAATCCTTCACACTTGGTATGCCTTCTTTACTCTGGAGAGTCCCTGTCACCAACTCAGTTCTGACAAGCCTCATCTCTTCCTCCCAGTCCTGCAGGAGGCATCCAATGGGTTTCCTCACTGCTATTCTTAACCAAAACCCTCTAACTCATCCTCCTTACTACTGGTGGGGAAATGTTTCTAAAAGAGGATCAGCAAACTTTCTGCAAAAGACTAGAGGGTGACTTTAGGTTTTGTAGGCCACTCATCTCTATTAAAACCACTCAGCTCTGCCACCTGTAGTGCAAAAGCACAGACAATATGGAAATGAAGGGACTTAGCTGTGTTATAATAAAATTTATTTACAAAAACAGGTGGTGGGTCCAATTACGCCCACAGGCTAAAACATGAATTTGTGTGTTATTTAACCTTACATTAAATTCTTTAGGTAGAGCCTCATTCTGGCCAGAAAGTGTGGGCATGTGCTATTCTTAACACAATATAAAATCTGGGCCTCATTTTCTCTCCAGACATGTCCTTTGCTGCATCCTACTCCCTTCCTACTGCTCCTGCCATATGGAGCTGTTTAGAATTCACTGACCACAGTTTCTCTTCTCTGTATAAGTTGTATGTCCTGCCTGGACTGCCGTCCCACCCACCCCTAACTCATCTCTAATACGATTCACTATTTGCCTACATAATACCAGCTTACTTCCCAGGATGCAGCTCAAATATTTCTCTCCAGTAAGTCTAGAATGGACCACTGGGTCTAAGGGTTCCCACACTCTATTTTGTACTGTGAGGTACAACGTTCAGAAATTTACCTTAACATATTAATGCTCTGAAAGATTTTTGTTTTTATAACATCTTGTCCTCTCCCCCAAACTGGTTTAATATCTTAGAGGACAGATACATATATCACTTGTCTTTGATTTTATAATGTCTATTTTAATATATAGCAGTGTCTAATACTTGACAGGATTCAAGCTATATTATGAAAAAAAATGAACAAGGACTCAAAATACAAGTAGAAAAATTGATAAATGCTTATTAAATTTATTTTTTTGAATGATTTCACTCTTCAAGGTGGAGATCACTGATGATATTTAATGTGTGCATTACATTTAATTTATGGATGGCACTGCTACCGCCACCCATAGCTGAATATTTTTGCTGTACACTTAATGTAGTCATTAACAATACAAAAGTGATCCTCACCAAAAAGTAATGTTTTGTTTAGTTTAAAAAAAAAAAAAGGAAGGAAGAAAAATATTTGAAGAGCCATTCCTGGAAGTAGAGTCATCCAGAAAATGGGTCCATCCTGAACACTGAACTAGCAGTAGCATCACGAGGGGATATACCATAGAAACTTCTAGTGTTGTAAGCAGGATGGAAAGACCAAGGCAGAACGTGCTTCCTGACAATGACTCATCATTTCCTTAAAAAGCTGAAACCCCTTTCGTCATGGCAGGGAACATCAGAGATACCACAGGGTCACTGTCTGATCTCCCCAGGAACTAGCCATATTCCAAGCAGAAGAATGAAGAAGCTCCATCCATCCAAGCAGCCAAAGCCGATGGTACCTCATGGCAGACCAGAGCCAGTTTCCTGGCCAAGGAGACACATAGAACATCTCTGCTGAACTTCCAGAGACTTCCCAGCTGGTGTTTCCTGCTGTCCAAATGACTGGCAGACACCTACCTACTTGTGACTGAGCAACCATGGTCGACTTCCTGTCACACAGAGGAGAAAAAGGCAGCCCCAGCTCCGCTTCTCTGTCACCCTAGAAAAACAGGAGGTCATGGTAAATTAAAGAACAGTAGGTGGAGCGGCCCAGATTTTATTTAGCAACCTGCCACTTAGGCCATTGGGTTTTATTTTAATTATTACAATTACGTTATGTAATACGTTCTTGTGGGTTCCGCTCCTCTGCATAAAAGACACCAAGAAGCCAACACCCTCTGGGGTCCAATCATTACATCCAGCTACAAAGGCTCACGCTGTCGCAAAGGCTCATGCTGGTGGACAGCAATAGATTCCCTGTGGAAAATAAGGCAATGGGCCATGTGTCCTACAGCCTGGAGCCAGCTCTGCAGTCAGAACTACTGTGTTTTCCCAAGTTTTCCTGTGTCTGTGACCTTTCTCTAGCCCTAGATCCCCTCCAAGCTATGGGTAGTGTCCAACTAAAGTTCAAACTGTACTGATTCAGTTTTGCTTGTTAGTGCTACTTAAAGGTGCACACAACTGGAGTAAGTGCTTCTGTGCTTGTAGGCTCAGGGCTCTGTTGACAAAGATACGGAAACTAAGAAGAATCAGAGTAGCTGGGCATGGTGGCCCATGCCTGTGATTCCAGTGGCTCAGAGACTGAGGCAGAATCACAATTTGATAAGCCAGCCTCAGCAAAAGTGAAGCGCTAAGCAACTCAGTGAGACCCTGTCTTTAAATAAAATACAAAATAGGGCTGGGGATGTGGGTCAGTGGTTGAGTGCCCTTGTACTGAACAAAAAAATAACAACAACAACAAAAAAAACCATAGTAAGTAACTATCAAGTTAGACAACAATAAAGCATAATTGTCTGACCGATATATTCTCAGTCTCACCAAGGAGCATCACTATAATAAATAAGTGCTTTGGAAAAATCTGTGGATGGAGATGATTTTTAAAAACATGGGTCAGAAGCTCAATATTCCAGTCACATCAGTGAAAATATGTCACCCTTCTTCCAGGAGTGAAGTCGCTCTCTTTCATTTACCAGGAAAAAAACCTGCCCCAGGAATGGCTACCAGCTTATGCTTGAATCCTGCTCCTCTCCTGGGAGACATGTGATCTTAGGAAGCTTATGGTTCCTTCCTAAATTTCAGCGTTTTCATCTGTTAAATGTGGGATAGTAGTCACTACCTCATAGAGTTATGAAGAGGAAGAAAAAGAAAAATGTATGAAAATAAATAGAATTGTTTGAAGAACTATTATTGTTTCTCAACAGTCTCTATGATATTTAAGGTCAAGATTCGAGAAATATTTAGTAAATCTGTTCCATCAAATACACTCTGGCTTGATAAATATTACCAATGAATTGGTAATAAATAAAGGTAATAGCAACCTGAAAGCAGACCTGGCTCAAAGACTGAATGTGCATTATTTTTAAGCCATGTTATCAAAGAGAAGGACACCAGCTCACACACACACACACACACACCACACATTTAAATCCACTGAAAAAACAGAAAAGGAGTGGGTGTCTGAAAAAGCTGAATGATGGCTCCTAGTGGAATTTGAGGACATGCAAGGCTCTCAGGAACAGTCCTGAAGTGGCTCAGTTCTTTTGCACCCTTTTCCTATACAGACACCCAGGGGTGTCTCTGTTTCCTGGCTGAGGGATGCTGTGTCTCTCAAAAATCTTTAGTGGGAAAGCTTAGCTAAAACAATTAAAATCCTTTTCTTATTTCTACATAGCAGGAACACAAGTTGTTTTGCTGATACATTTTAATGGGACAGAATAAGAAGGTGAGGTGGTAAACATCTTCCACTTGACTTCTAAGAAGCAAGCATGAATTTGGATTTCATTATCCAAAACTTGCATGATATTAAGTAAGTTCTAATTCTGTGGACTTGCTCGTACCCACATCTATATAGCACTTGCATCTTTTGCTTTTATTTGAGCTGTGTAGACTCAACCATGAAAAGCCTGTTTTAAAACAATGGTCGCTGACTTCCCTTTGGAGGACACATTCACTTATGAACTCTTTAAAAATGTACCATAAGTTATGTGGATGAATAAACTTCTACAGGTGAATCCATCTTGATTGATAACACAATATCCTATGACTTTATAGTTACTGGCCCTTAGGGGATTATTCAACCGCTTTCCTTTTTACTGAAGAGGTCAAATTTCTCAGAAAGTCTCAGTTGTAATAAAAGATTCTTTTTAAAACTAATTCATTTTTTTTTTCTTCTAGGACTACTCAGAAAAATAAGTATCATTTATATGGTAGGGGTTAAGTTAACTCCAACTGCTTAAGTCACGCAGTTGGTATGCAGAAGGAAGATAATGAATATTCGTTGAATGAATGAAAAGACTAATTTGGTTAGAAACACTTAAATTCCTTTGTCACTGAGACATTTATGACAGGTAAAGTAGAGAGCAATTAGGCAGGTAGCTATTCACCAGATTCCTACCGCTCCTCTGTTTCCTGTTCACACAACTGGTCTACATTGTGCAGAATCTCTTCTGTTTAGTGCTAGATAGTACAACAAGAGGAGAGGGGATGTATTTCCACCATGGTTAGGGCCTGTAAAATCTCCTGTACCTAGTTCTCCCTATCTTCCCCCTTTCGCTGGCTTGATGTAGACAAGCACAATAGAAGTCATTTAGATGATAGACTCTGCTTATCATAGAACCACCTGTCAATCAAGAGACACTTGTCCTGTATTATAAGTGGGTGACACACTTTTACATTTAGGTGTGTTGCATTACATTTGAAGGTTAGTTTGTTACTGAAACTATATGTAAGCAGCAAACTAGTAAAAAGAAATAAGAGTCCTTGAATTGGAAGTTCACAGGGAACCTGGCATCTGCCAATGTGAGAACTTCGAAAACAGGTGATATCTCAAGGGAGCCTTTTCAGGTGGAGGGAAGAAAACATAAGTATTTGGGGACTGAACAAAAACATCAAGCTAAAAAAATACAGCAGTGTACCAGGCACAGTGATACACATTTGTAGTCCTAGTGCCTTGGAAGGCTGAAGCAGGAGAATCTTGAGTTCAAAGCCAGCCTCAGCAACTTAGCAAGGCCCTGAGCAATTCACTAAACAGAATACAAAATAAGGCTAGGGATGTGGCTCAGTGGTTGAGTGTCCCTGAGTTCAATCCCTGGTACTAAAAACAAAAACAACAGAAATGTGGCATATATACACAATGGAATTTTACTTAGCATTAAAAAAGAACAAAATCATGGCGTTTGCAAGTAAACGGATGGCCTTGGAGAAGATAATGCTAAGTGAAGATAGCCAGTCCCAAAAAAACAAATGCCTAATGTTTTCTCTGATATAATGGGGGTGATTCATAGTGGGGTAGGGAGGGAGAGCATGGGAGGTTTAGGGGCTGGGGTTGTGGCTCGGTGGTAGAGTGCTCGCCTAGCATGTTCGGACCTGGGTTCGATCCTCAGCACCCCATAAAAATAAATGAAATAAAACTATTAAAAAAATAGATTAATTCTAGATAGGAAGGAGGATTGGGAGGGAAAGGGAGGGGGCAGGGGATTAGCAAGGATGGTGGAATGTGAAGGACATCATTATCCAAAGTACATGTAGGAAGACTTGAATTGAGTGTCAACATACTTTATATACAAACAGAGATATGAAAAATTGTGGTATATATATGTATTAAGAATTGTAATGCAAAAAAATAACAAAGTACATGTATAAAGGCATAAATTGGCATGAACATACTTTATATACAGAGATATGAAAAATTGTGCTCTGTATGTGTAATAAGAATTATGCATTCCACTTTTGTCGTGTATTAAAAAGATAATAAAATCAATAAAAAAGAATTTAAAAAGTTTAAACTAGAGTTAGCATAAAACTCATCAATTCCACTCCTAGTTTATACCCCATGAGTATTAAAAACATATGTCCACACAAAAACTTGTATATGAATGTTCCCAGTAGCATTGTTGATAATAGATAAAAAGTACAAATATACAAGTCATGTTACTTGATAAATGAATAACAAAATATGCAATATCTATATAATGAAATGTTATTCAGCCACAAAGGAATGAAATACTGATATACGTTCTGATATAGATGAACCTTGAAAACATGATGCATTATATAATAAAATCTAGAAAAGGCAAATACACAGAGACGTAAAATTGATGAGTAGTTGCCAGAGACTAGGGGAAGGAGGAATGGGGAGTAACTACTAACAAGTACTTTTCTTTTTTACAGTGATGAAAACGTTCTAGAATTAGATCATGGTCATGATTACATGACTTTGTGGATATGCTGAAAACCACTGAAAGGCATCCTGGGAAAGGATGAATTTATGGTGTGTGAATTCTGACTTAATAAAATAAACTCAACAGGTTAGAGAAAAAGTTTAAATACAGTTAAAATTCCCACACTCTATTTTTCTCCCCCACTCACAGAGACATCACTGTATTATATGAAAAGAAATAATTTCAGGTTCTCAATAAAAATGAATGTTAATGGCAACTAAAAAAAAAAAAAACCAAGAACAACCACAACAAAACCAAAATGCAACAATGTACACTCTCCATCCTCCTCGAGGAAGAGTGTACAAAGATTAGCTACGAGAAAAGTATTGTGCCTTTGGATTTAAGATAGTAAATTTTAGCCCTTTCTTCTAAGAAGTTATCACTTCTGAAATAAGAAGAATAAGAAACAGAAATACAAATACCATTAAAATCTTTTATTATTTATTTTTTAGTTCTCGTTGGACATGACATCTTTGTATATGGTGCTGAGGATCGAACCCCGGCCGCACGCATGCCAGGCGAGCGCGCTACCGCTTGAGCCACATCCCCAGCCCCATTAAAATCTTTAATCTAAATAAAAACTATGTATGGAAGGGCCATCAAATGCTGTGAATATCAAACAGGGATGTCGTGAGATACTGAGGCTGGTGGAGGGCAGAGGCTGAATTATGAGCAATCCTACCATAGCTTCCCTCTGATATCTTGAAAAACATAAAGGCACACACACACACACACACACACACACACACACACACACACACCACTGCATAGGAATCACAAA